CAGGGGGTGAACACTCGGCTTGTCATGCGGGGGATGGATAATCAGAGACGGGTTGCGATGAAATATGAGATGGTCAAACACGAAGCCGATTCAACAGGAACCAGGGTGATGGCATCTGTTTTCTTCTCCCCTTTCTTACCAAGCTGCACCCCCCAAAACTCTGACCAGAAAACATGTTTATCAGATCACCTTTTGAAGATTGACTTAATATACATGCCAGTCTGATATGTCAAGGTTGCTGTCAAAGAAGCTTACAAACGGCAATCAAGGTTGACCTCAAGCATCATGAAGCACAGGCCAGAAAGAGTTCTTCGACCTAACCAGTTGTAATTTGGTTAGATTGGTATACATTATTTTCAATCATCATATATTGAGAAGTGTTCTCTATTGTCTAACCTGCCCAGGTTCAGTATCCTTTTTCTTTACATAATTGTATGGATTAACGTCCTCCTCTTTATATCAACTAAATAAACCTAAAATTGAAATGGTGTTGGTCTGTTGGTTGCCATGTGTTGCAAGAACATACAGCGGTTGCATACACATGATGCCCAGTGTTTATGGAAAAGAGACATAAAAACATATATTGGCTCGGGCTGGGTTTGAGTTTGAGACACACATTCGTTAAGTACCAATTGGGTTCAGTCAAGTCAGATCCTAGTTGCGTCCCTCCCCAGCTTCAGATCTGATTTTGAACTAGAAAAATAACTACTAAATGTTTTCTCTATATTCTTCTGAATAGTCAAACATTTAAGTTGAAAGGTTGTAAATGTGATTTTGATAAGGAGTCCACAACATAAATCCATCTTCAATTATCAAGACTGTTGGTTCAACACAAGCATTCACACATACATTCAAACACTGGTGGAAGAGCCTACCATACGCGGTGTCACCTCACCCGGACAAAAAAAACTTACACTCATGCCTCAGCCAATGGTGCAATATCTTGCCTAAGGACACTTCAACACATAGACTGATCAAACCACCCATCTTTTGATTAGTTGACAACCTTGCTACCCGTTAAATAAATACGGTTATAGCTGAAGTAAATAAAGGAATGTTTGCCACAGTTTAAGAATGCTTTTAATTTGACTTTCTCACCTATATCTCTCTAACAGAGGTAAAGGTGGAGATGGGCAAAGAAACGGCATGTATTTAAGTCGAAGGAAATCTGCAGCTTTCATCTATAATAGGTCTATTCAGCTATTGATCTATTCGCAGCATGGCAAATATCTGCTCACAGTCTCTATCTCCTTCTTGTTCTGCATCTCATTTCATCTTCACTACCTAATTTGCCCCAGTCCTCCACTGTCCTCCTTTTTTCCTCAAACACTCCTCTACCTGAATGCTCTTTGCTGTCCGGTGGGCTTGATATTCAGACAGCTCCTCTTTTGTTGTGTTGTAATGTGCTCCATGGCCCATACCAATGCATCCTCACCCTCCTCTCCCTCCCCCTCTCTTCCTCTCACTGTTCTTGTTCATCTGACTTGTTCTCCTGCTCTCTTTGCTATTGTGTTTTACACCCTCGGCCAGACTTTTCTGTCACACAAAAGAGGCGTAGAAAAGCTACGGGTTTGTGTGCGTGTGTCTGTGTGTGCGTCTGACTTGGCCAACCTTTTGGTATGTTTAACCTCGCAGAGGGCAAGGCTGCAGGGCAAGGGTGATGTCACAAAGGAAGCACTTTTTTTGTGCGCACACACCGACACACACATACACAGCCTGCCCACTCCCGCCCACCCCTCACCATTGTCATGTATAGTGTTGCTAATCCGACCCTGTCGCTTCAGTATCAAACATAACCTCCATTTGAGGGGGCAAGGCCCTTTCTTTCACTCCTATTTTGTGTAGGTGTGTATGCGTGCGTGAGTGCACTGGTTGGTGTGTTAATGGGCCTGGTCAACAGCGTGGTACAATGGGCAGACTGGTTTGGGATGCCTGTTTAAGTGTCGGGACAGGGAAAGAGGGTTTGGGGCAAGGCAAGTCTGACTTTGATGTTACTGGGACAGAGGAGTAAATGGCTTGTAGACACACACACACACTCATACTCACACTCACACATACACACACATACACACACATACACATACACAACCACAGGAAACATGGTCACAGTTATGGGTGGTTGTCAGGAGAGACCCCGTTACAAAATGTGTGTGTATTTCCCAGTCTCATCCCTGGGTTATCACATTTCAACCATCGTGCCTGGACAGCCTGGCAGAATTATGCTGCTTGTGGCCCCCTATATTCTGTGTGTGTGTGTGTGTGTGTCACCCCAGGAGAGCTGGGTGTTCATGGTTCATTAGCCCCACGTACACTTGTAGTCTGTTCTCACTGGTAGAAGGGATGGATTCAAATCTCTCACACACACACACACACACTCTGTTTTGTTCTGTTCTGCCGGCTCTGATGAACTGGCACGCAGCCTCCTCCCCTCTCCTCCTCATCTTCTAGTAATCAGGGTACCTATGAGACAGACAGGTAGCATCTGTCGCCTTCTTTCCCCTGATCCTTCCCTCCCTCTGTTTCTCCGTCTCCCCCTCTTCCATGCCATTGTGTCGAATTTCCCTCGATGACGGATTGATGTGATAATGTACAACTTGTCCCGGAGAATAAAAACTTGTGTGTAAATTGACATGCTAAGGAACGTTTTCTCAATTTCATTTTCTGCTGATTGTTTGAGAACATGTGGAGATCTTTCAAGACTCTGGATCCTGGTTTTCCTCAGATACCTACTCCCGACGCATCACATACATTTCCTTTTTAGGATTTATTGGTCAGTTGAAATTGCTACAGTGGATATGGCTGAGGCCTCTCTCCCGCGTCCGTTCAGCTGTTTGGAAAAGGCGCTGCCATCTGCTTATTTAGCTCCTGACTCCTTCAGATCAGTTTGGCCAAGATGAAGCAAGCAGCTCTCGTTTGGTTTTGAGCAAGGCCTCAAGGCTGATTAGCATATTTTCACCAAGTGTACAGACAACAGACCCCCACCCACCCTCTCCTCTTTTCCTACCCCCCCATGTGTTTGATTCCTCGGCCGTGACAAAGAGCTTCAACCTTTATCCGTGTGTGTGTTGGTGAGATGGGGGGCCCTTAGATTAAGGGAAAGCTTCCTGCTCTTTATTTGGGAAGTCCCCCTGGGAGACGCTTTGGGAATGACTTTCGTTGAGTCACTAACGCCTACTCACACACAAACACACACACACACACACGCACACAATCATTCTTAGATGAACTTCTACTCACACATACACACCTTCACCCCTGCCTTTTTTCAACAAGCTGCCCATTGACTTGATGCTAGTTGTTGTGTAACACTTACTACACGTGCATGAACGCTTTCAGAAACACACACACACACACACACACACACACACACACACACACACACACACACACACACACACACACACACACACCACACACACACCACACACAGAGGCCCCCCAGTCTGTTCATGGTAGTTAAGGTAGGTAGATGGAAAACTGTGGTACACTGATCCTTAGCTGACAACATGCAGTCAATTTCATAGTAATTTAAATTATCTTTCAAGGATAATGCCAAAAATGGCTTGTTCCAGTTTCGCTCATGTGTGGATTTTATGCTTTTCTTTGTTTTATAAAATGTATTTAGCATTTAAATAAATCACCGTGGGCTTTGTAAAATTGTAGTGAGCATTTTTTATTATTTTACATTTTTTGACCAGACCTTAAAGTGAATTATAAATAAACAGTTACTAGGTACTAAGTAATTCCGTTTAATTTGAACAACTTCGACTGTTATTTCACTTTTGATACAGATTTTTCTTCCTTGGAGATGCTTAAATTATGTATAGGGGACATTTTAAGAGCATCTTTTGAGAAAAGTATTTGCATTATGGTGGCTTGTACACGGTCTATGGTCACTGGTAGGTGTATTAAAAAAATATATAAAGGTTTCAATCTGCCCAAATGAATCAACCCAGAGCGCAAATGATGTTAAATTGATTCATTTTTAGAATCATCCAAATTAGGGTCACACGTTTTTGCTCTAAACTGTACAGCGTTGAGTTGCTTGCAAGGGTGCTGTGTGTTTGTTTTTTGAGGATCAAGGTCGTGGCAGAAAGAAGCCCCATCCAAACAGCAGCCATTTTAATTTGTTTGACGGGGGAAGAAAGGTGATAACCTCCCTCACACCCGGGGAGGAGTTGGGTAGAAAACAAGGAGAGGAGGAGAGAGAGAGAAAGCAAAGTAAGGAGGGCTAAGCTGAATTGCGATAAGGTGGCAGATAGAGAGACTCTGAAAAAGAGAGAAAGAGAGAGAGGTGGAAAGGAGACTGTAATATTTGATTATGGCTCAAGGCTGTATGTTTGTCCAAAGGCTAAAGACTGTCAACCAGCTAATCGTGGGGGTCGATGGGTGGGTGTGTCTGTGTCTGTATGTGTTTGTGAAAGTCTGTGTGGGTCATTGCTATCAGCACATAATTTATGCTGAGTACATGTGTCTGTGTGTTTCTGTGTGTGTGTTTGTGTGTACGTTACAATGTCTGGATGTCGGTTACAGTTCTCTGGGCCTGAGGAGTACAGGGGCGTCCCTCAGGGCGCTGTTAGTGCCACTCTCATACAGATGTGCTGGGCTGCCATTGTGTCAGTTTCTGTGCGTGTCCTTCTCTTACAGGAAACTGAACTTACTCCTCAGGGTTTAGAGTTCTTAATAGGGTTGGATATTTTCTAGAATTTGTCAGCTATGGCTCTAAATCTTGTTGTATTGAGTAAAAAATGTATGCCACCGATAACCAATATTTTTAACAAATGTTTAATCATTGGTTCTTTTGAATTCAAATTAAGGAAGGCCTCTTGATCCTTACCTTTTTATCATTTTAAAAATCTTCCCATTGATTACATTGATTGTTGTATGTTTATGATGAGTGGTTTTCATGAGATGCCTTTTGTCAAACATAAAAACACCAAAAGTGTATACAGTTAAAATGTAAAGTGACCTTGTTGTAAATACTTTTTTCTGTTCTATCAGATGCTGAAGAGAAGGCCAGCTGGTTGGTTTCGTCAAAGGATAAGGACGTAAGAAGACATCAGTATTTTTACAGTGATTTGTATATTTTGACTAGTTGAGTACTTCGTGGCCACAGAGCGTGAACGTTGTGATCAGCTGTTTTAGCGCAGTTCTCCAGTCTCCCTCCGCAGCCGGTTGGCGTAGTTTTGGCACAATTCCGTTGTACAGCCCGACGTTAACAGCAGCCCTGTCTGTGCACACGGAGACCGACCCTGTCGTCCGGTGATCTAACCGCCTTCTGGAAAAGCTTCACAAGTACGTCGGTACGCAAATGCGCTTTGTGACACAAGTGACGGTACGCATTTCAGATTGTTGCCGCGCATGCGTACCTGCGTACCAGTTATGTGCACCCATGCCCTGTACCCTGTACTACAGCAAAAGTATTCTCCGTCGGGACTTCCTTCAACAACACCACGCCGTTATCTTGATTCTGATTGGCCAGAAGACATTATCAAAGATGTTCTATTGAGAAGACGATCACTACGTGACAAAAGTTTTCAAAACCGTTTCTAGTCTTCGGTATTTCCAGACAAGTGGCTACTGAAATCAATCTTACTAACTGCTGTCTGTGCAATTCTCGGCGCGAGTTGGCGTATTTTATTTTGCTTACTTTAACATCATTTTTCATGGTGGGGCTAAGCCATTTCTTGGTATGGGTGTAGCCTACCCCAGCCATACCCTGGCGCTGCCACTGGTGGGATGTATGGGGCGGTCCATTCTGCACATGCGTTGAATGCGTTAAATATTTTAACGCAATTAATTCAAAAAATGTATTACCGCCGTTAGCGCGATAATTTTGACAGCATTAATTTTGACATTTAGCCACTTTTCGTTCGATGGCTTTTTACAAAGTAGTTGGACTGGTGGTCTAAATGGCAGCCATTTTCGGCAAACCTTTTCTGAATAAAAGGCGGATGTGTTGAGCCAAAACTTATTTTTAGAATAGTGCACAGTTCAATTGTTTGGATAATTAGGACTGTCAGTTTTTTGGATATAAGCCAAAGTAATATGTAAGAAGTAATGTGTGATTTCCAAAAATAATAAGTATAACCGTAGGCTATGTATTATATATTGTCACTTGTTTTTGTCAGTCAAAATTAGTTGGAAATACAATTCTAAGATGTTCATGATTTTTCTATACACATGTTTAAATAAATAATGAGAGTATCAACTGTGTATGTTTCAGGCTGGGATCTATAACAGAGACAAGGGTGCAAGAGCAACGGGGCCGCGGCTGTCAAACCGATACTACACCGACAAGAATGTCCAGTGTAGAAACTGCAGCAAGAACGGACATCTCTCCAAGAACTGCCCAGAGTCCAAAGTCAGTTCAACTCAGTGCACCGTAGCGTGTACAGCTTATACACTCTGATGAGTACCAATATGTAAAACTACTAACTGTGTTATGTGTGTTTTTTATGTGCGTGTGTGAGCAGCAGTTGGTGCCCTGCTATCTTTGTGGAACCCCAGGCCACCTGTCCAGTGAATGTCCCAACAAGCACTGCAACAACTGCGGCCTGCCCGGGCACCTCTACAACTCCTGCAGAGACAGAGCGCACTGGCACCAGCACTGCGAGCGCTGCTTCATGACAGGCCACTCAACAAATGTGAGTATAGCATTTTATTTTATTAGGTTGGAATTAAAATAAGAAAATAATGCTCTGCACATTCCACAACTCATGGCCATTAATCTGCTGCTGTAACAGCCTCACCTCTACTGATTTGTAAACCTAGCTGAAGGGATTTGCTCCCATTTGTTGTAGCGGCCAGTCCTTTTTTAATGGAACTTGGTTTGTGCATATGAGCATTGTGATATTGAGACAAGAAAGGTCCTTTCCAAAATGTTGCATCAAAGTTGGCCATATGTTCTATTTTATACAAGGTTATTCAGCACAATGTCATTGGATTTAAACAAAATAAATACAAAAGCAAATAGACAATGAGGACATACGTTTCATTATAAAAAAAGAAAGGGAATTAAGGGAATGCGTTGATCTTAATGACCATTTGTATATCCATTACTTACCCTGTGTCACTTGAATTTGTGAAGAAATTCTTGTGAAAGATAGAATCTGAAAATGAAAAACTTTTTAAAAGAATTGTAGTAACATCAAAACTATATAAAAACATCTGTTTACAAACTCTGTGCAAACCGTACATTCTAAAACACTTCTGCATAAACCGCATGCATTTTCAGTTTTTTTCTCATTTTTCAAGGGCTGGCAGGGTCAGTTACTTAAATACAAATAATAATTTGGGGGTTGGAGTATTCCTTGATGTATTTCGGGAGATTGAATCAACTTGATGCCACAGTATGAGGTCAAATGGCCTCAGATGATGTGTGTGTGCAGTAGGCTTTGGCTTGTTGTGTTGCTGTATGAGAACAAGTTGAAACACCAACCACTTAATGGCAAAAGTATACCCTCTCCATTACCACCCCCCCCCCCCATTTC